ATATACACATTTATATTATTGGAAATATAAAGAAAATAAAACTAACAAATAAAAGAACATAAACAAAAAATATGAAGAAAAAAGAGAGTTGTGGTCTGTGGCCTCGCTATGGGAACGCCCAGTCCAGCGTTCAGTTCAGCGAAGTTGCCTACGTCTGCATTGACAATATCGGGGAGCAATTAATCAAAGATCGCTCCTTCGGGTAGGCTAAGAGCGCTCTAGGCGCTCCCTTGGGATTTTATTTTTCTGCACACGCTTTTGGCTTTTAGATTTTTTTTTTGATTTTTTGGCTTTTCGGTTTTCCAGGCTTTTCTTAGGTTTTGGACAACAAGAATTGACACGAAGAAACGTGTTTTTATTTATTTTTCCTTTCGCGAGAGGCACGGAGAATTACTTCTTGCGGAGGCACGGATTTGAGGCACGGCCGTGCCTCTCGCAAAAGGGAACAGACTTATTTTTTCTTTTTTTCCTACGAAGAGAGGCACAAATTTACTTCTCGTAGAGGCACGGATTAGCTTTCACGAAAGGCACGGTCATGCCTCTCGAAAAAGGGAAAAGGTGTTTTTTTTCTACCACGGGAGGCACGGATTTACTTCTCATAGAGACAAGGTTTTGCTTTTGCGAGAGGCATGGTATGACCGTGCTTCTCGAAAAGAAAAATATATATTTATTTTTTGATTCCGAGAAAGGCACGGTCGTGCCTCTCGCAAAAGGGAAACACACGTTTTCCTGTTTTTTCTATAAGGGGAGGTATGGATTTGCTTCCGCGTGGGGCATGGCCGTGCCTCTCGGAAAGGGAAAACGTGCTCCCAGTTCAGGGTTTTCTGTCCTTTTTTCTGATTCTTTTTGTCAAAACCTATAAACATGGGAACTAATTTTGAAAATCATGACACCAGAAATCGAACGGTGAAAACGGTTCGAGATTTGGACGCATGGTTTGTCAGATTATTTTTTTAAATCATGTGTCTAAATCTACGAAGAAAGGACTCTTAGGTTGCGATAAGTGGCGTGCATGTAGTGTGACACTTGTCACAACCTGGAAAGGTTGGAGTGACATTTGCAAAGAGTACTCCGTAACTAGTGATTTTGACAATATCGTGTTAGTTCTTTTATATGTAACTCTATTTATACCCATAACACTTAATTACAGGTGCATTGATTTGGACCTAAAATCCAAAAAAAGTACAAAGTAACTCCTATGATTTAGAACTACAATGAAATCTCTTAAAAACACCTTCTTCGCGGTATCAATCTTTATTCGTAGAAATACTCCAAAGACTTCGGTAAAGAGGCTGGAATTGGACTAGAGCAATGATGTTGTCACGCTTTCGCCTGCGCGAACATTATCAATAATGGTTTTGAAAGTGCCTTGTGTCGTCCATCCAAAAAGATGGGAAGCCTTGATCAATGAACTTATTTGGCCCGGGGATGATCCTCTAGAAGTGCAGGACGTCGAATCACTATATTTTCACTATGGTGTCGATGGTGATTTCACCTCCACAAAAAATCAAACCAACAAAAAAGATTGATACAACATGAGAAAGCGGAAGATTACGTGAGCATCTATGCTCACATCTTGTCCACCCCGGTAAGTGAACCTTTTCGTATCCTTTTGCTTATATTTTGTTGTTTGTTCCGTAAATGACTTTGAGTTGTTTTTCAAAGCTTGCCATAGCAGCTCAAACCTCTTATCTGGAAATGGGAGTTCTAACCGATCCTAACCCCAATTCCAAACAAATTGATTGGACCATGGTTCGTTAAACTCCCCAGATCCAAAATCGGATCTGCGAGGACAAAAAACTCTCTAACATCATGACAATATCTTGTTAGTGCGAGTACTCCTCCCGTCCTGTATAAGGATTTCCTTCCACCTATATGGCCCATTTTCGCTGTTTCTTTCCTTGGCTGGATGTCAAATGGGTTCAGTATGTTTCTCGCTAGGTTGGCTTCGCCTTGGTTTCAATTTCTTTCTTTCTTCGATTTCTTCCGTTTTTCTTTATGCGTTTCCGATTTTCTGATTTTCTTGTTTTTCAACGTTTTTCTTCACTTTTTCATGGTTCCTGCCAATTTTTTATGTTTCTTCAAGGTTTTTTTTTCTTATTTTTGTCAGTTTTCTTGATTTTCATTGGGTTTTTCTTTCATGTCTTTTTTTTTGTTTCTTTCTCGGCTATGTTTGGTTTCTTGCTTGTTCCTTCTTTTTATTTGGTTTTCAGCACACATTCAACATTTTTTGTATACATTAGAGAAAAATTTGTATACACATTTAATATTTTGAAATACATGATTAATAGATTTTTTGTGTATATCTAATACATGTTTAGCATTTTTGGGTACATGATCAATATTTTTTACAGATTTAAAATTATTTCAACTGTTTGATTAACAATTTTCAAATACAAGATTGGCATTTTTTTAAATACATGGTCAACATTTTTTTCTATACACATTTAACAATTTCAAATACTTTATTAACATTTTTAGTACGTGGTCAACATTTTTCCTATACACCTTTCACATTTTTTAAAATGCTTGATTAATATTTTTAAATACATGGTCAACATTTTTCTACACATTTAACATTTTTCAAATGCTTGATTAATATTTATTAAATACTTGTTTAATAATAAAATTCAAATGCTTGATTAATATTTTTTAAATACATGATCAATATTTTCCATAGACATTGTGTTTTTTTGTATACATGAGAAACATTTTATCAATACAATTTTTTAAGAAATTAAATGGTTGGTTAACATTTTTTCCAAATGGTTTTATGTAAAGTGTTTTCCATAATAACTTTATCTAGAATATTTGGAATTTTTTGTATACGTGAGATCAAGGGCGAGGATATGGTAGATGATGGTGGCCGTGAGGGTGGAGTTGATAAGAATCAGTTGGTCGCTTCTCTTGAGCATGGAAGCCTTCCATGTCGGGATATGTCCAGCCACTTGAATAATGCTATTAGATTCTCAAAAAAAAACTTCAATAGTACTACCTCCGTCCCATAATATAAGATGTTATTACAAACAATATACTCTACAGAGGAAGCAATATTTATCTGTATACCTGTCTAGCCTTGACTTATTGTACGGGGCATGGGCTGATTAATTTCATCACATCTTTGCTAACTGGTTTCTGTTATCAATCATGTCGTCAGATTTGCAAGATATTCCTATCCATTCCGTATCAAGTTAACCTCATATCCATATTTGTATTGGAGTAACATCCGCTCCACGTTGGTATTCGATATCATACATATTTACATTTGTATTCGTTATAGAAAATATGAAAACAGAATGGAAAGTGCACTATCTTATCCGCATCCAGTGGCATTCTTTCCAAGTGTTGATGTTTTTATCCAATAAAATCTATGAAAATGTTATCTAGCGAACATCAGTCATGGGGATGGTTCCAGCGAACATCCTTTCTACTGTTGCATGAATCTCGGTGCAAGGCCGCTGCCAGTCTGCCACGTAGATTTTCTGGAGTTGTTCGCTGTAATCCTCTCTCTGGCCAACACTACCTTGTTAAACTCCCCCCCAAAAAAAAAGACGTGGGTTGGGCCGGACTCAATATCACGCCCACCTGCCTCGGTCGTAGGTGGGTGTACCACTTAGATTGTAGAGCGGTTTGTGCGCACTTGCGACAAACCTGCTATACGCATATGAAGCTATTTTGTTTTAAATTTGTTTTTTCATTTGAAACTTTGACTAGAAAAAAATCATAAAATCCCGAAATTTCTTCTTCGTTATAAGATAAAATGTCCCTATTCTTTTATTTTCCTATGTGTTTTTTACAAATCACAAAAGTTGCCATGTCTTACAGAACAAGTTATAACATGCCAAGTTTATGTAGGTAGCATGACATTTTTTTAATTAATAACTTGGCATTTTTTATTATTTAGAGGATGGCAATGTTAATATGAAGAGGATGGCGGTTTATCATTGAGAGGATTATTTTCAATGGTATGCCATTTTTATTGAGAGGATGACCGTTTTATCATAGAGAGAATGTCATTTTTATTATTACTGGCGTGTCATTTTTTAATTAGACCTGGTAGATTTAGTGTATGTAGCATAACAGTTTTACTTAGGTACTGTGGCATTTTTATTATTGTTATTTCTATTATAAAGAAGATGCCATTTTTATTAATAAGAGGTTGTCAGTTTTATTATTAAGAGCATGCCAATTTAATAATAAGGATTGCATTTTAATCAATAAGAGGAGACGATTTTATTACTAAGAGCATGGCATTTTAATAATTAAGAGGATGGCAATTTTATTTTCAGTGGCACGACATATTTATTAAATTTTTGCACAGCAAACCAAATAAAGTTAAGTTTTACAGCATGGTATTTTTGTTTTTTGGTCCATAGCAAAAACAGATATTCACTGTTTATACATCATGACAATTTCTTTTTTTTTAGATCATGGCATTTTAATAAAAAATAATATTCATGGTATTTTTTGAAATGAAACAGTAAAATGATATCTATGGGCCAATCGGGGTCGCCCTGGACCCCCACCACAGCGAACAATCGGGAAAGGATGAAACGTTCGCTCGATCAACCTTCATCGTTCGATGGCATCCTCCTCCTACTGGGGGTCCAAAATCTAAGCGCTCGAACTTCGTACTAAAGCAACGACACTTTGAGATGGAGAGAGTGTTATCAGTACAACTTTGTTTCCGGCAGATGAGGATTCGTCTCCGGGACAGGAGTCAGAAAAAACCCAGCAATCTGACGACTATATGGTCATCTTGCTAATACAAATTGACAAAGGTACCCAAGATCACAAGTGAATGAAACCGAAACGTGCTGATTTGCACATATTTCCCACGTTTTTCATAAGCAGAATGGCATAAATCCGATCCATGCACATGGATAAACTGTTGTCAATACATGGCCTTGTCTTTTCTACTAAAAAAGAAGGGAGTTATTGGAATTAATGGTGCCAGAACAGAGCAATAAACCTCCTCCATTTTCACCACATATGCATGCATGTTAGCCTTCGCATCGCATGTTTATAATCGGGCATACCTCCCTCATCCGATCCTCAGTAACACTGTCAACTTAGCACAAGATTGCGCACGTTCTATTCTCCCTGCAACCAACCAAGAACCAACCATGTCCATAGCCAACGTCCTTCTCGTGCCCTACCCGTGCCAAAGCCACATAAACCCCATGCTACAGTTTGCCAAGAGGCTGGCGTCCAAGGGCGTGCCCGCCGCCCTTGTCGTGACCCGCTTCATCGCCAGAACTGTCCAGTTTGATGCCGGCCCTGTGCGCGTCGAGTCCATCTCCGATGGCCACGATGAGGGCGGCCTCCCGTCGGCGGCAAGCGTCGACGAGTATGTGGAGAGGCTGGAGTCCAGTGGGTCGGCGTCCCTGGCCGCGCTCATCGAGGAAGGCCACTTCACACACGTGGTGTACGACTCGTTCATGCACTGGGTGGCGCGCACGGCGCGGGGGCTGGGTCGGCCGGCCGTACCCTTCTCCACCCAGTCGTGCGCTGCGAGCGCTGTGTACTACTACATCAACTCCGGGCTGCTGGACGCGCCGCCGCCGGGTGACAACTCGGGGGTCAGGAGCGAGCCGTTCGCCGGGTTGCCGAGGCTGGAGAGGTGGGAGTTCCCGTCCTTCGTGTTCCATGACGCGCCGTACCCGGCGCTCACCGCCCCCGCGCTCGCCCAGTTTGCTGATCGGGACGTGGGGGACTGGGTTCTCGTCAACTCGTTCGATGAGTTGGAGTTCAAGATAGTAAGATCTAACTTTTTAGGTTTCAAATGATGATGTTTTTATCCAAAATAAAAGATGTTCATTAGTTGCATATTGAAGATCAAGAAACATGATCCGTGAAATTTGAACTTTCGATTTGTGAGGTTTCATTTCTAGCCCCATACTAAGTCGAGCCACCCTGAAAAAGTTTCCGGAAAGAGTGAAACCTTCAGTAAGAAAGAAACTGCACGTGGGGAAATTTCGAATGAAAATTTAGAAAGTTCTACAGGTTCCTTCTTTCTATTTATTCTGGATTTTCCTTTTGTTGAGTTTTCTTTACCTTTTTTTTAGAAACTTTTGAGTTTTTTTTCTTTTTGAGATGGATCTTAGACATATTTGATGGGCTTAAAATGAGTCACATGAGTTGGGCCTACACGAGTTGGGCTTAAAGTGGGTTGGTGTTTCTGTTCGAGGAAAGTATCGTTTTCCCCCTCAAATCCTGTCTGATGGACCGATTTCCCCCCAAAGTCTAAAACCGGATCAATCAGCCCCTAAACTCTCCAAAACCGGATCAATTCTCCCCCATGGTGGTTTTGCACCAGATTTAGGTGGTTTTGACTAGTCTCCTTGCTGACTGGACATTGCTGACTTGGCAGATTTCAGGTGTTTTCATCGATTGGGGGAGCCGGTCGACCAATCAGCCCCCAATTCAGGTGATTTCGGTCCAACCTCCCTGTGCCGCGACGGCGTCAAGCACGCCCAACCTTGCCGCGACGGCGTCAAGCACGCCGGCGGCGTCCGCCGACGCCGCCATGGCGTCCGCCCTGCAGTCGGCCTCCACGCCGCCCGATGGTGAGTCAACCGCCCCCCTTTCTTTCCCGTCGAAGTCATCTACTGCATGATCTTAGTTTAGGAGAAATCAGAGCTGCGCTTAGAAGTCATCTACTGCACCCAATTTTGCTGCCATGGCAGGCAGATGGTGGAGGTGTAGGGTAGATCATAGGAAGATTGTTTTTATGGGTAGGTCCTGAGCTATGTAATGAGGTAAAGATTGTTTTTTTGGGCAGGTCTTGTCGATGAGGCAGCAGATGAAGAAGAAATAAGTTATGTGTCACTACATTATTTTGGCAAATTTGAGACAGTGGATGGATTGCTTGTATACAACGGAGGTCTGATGATTACTTTTCCGTTCAATAGGAAAAGCCTAAAGTTTGAGCTTTTGTTGTCTTATGCTGAGGACATGTATCATGTAGAAAGAGGACATTGTAGGGGGGATTATAGTTACAAGATGCACTGGCTTGTTCCAGGGAAAAAACTGAGTGAGGGTTTGCAATTTATTTTTGATGATTCAAGTGTGGAGAAGATGTGGAATGCAACACCTATTGGGTCATGTGCAGAGATCTATGTGGAGGAAGTGCAGTTGTGTGAAGAAGCAGTAAAGCAGTTGCAAAACAGAGTAGATGATGTGCCTGTGGTAGATGATGTGCCTGTGGTAGTTTCAGCAACATATTCCAAGCATAAAGGTAGCAGATTTGCATTGGTAAATGTGGATGCTGTGGAGACAAACATGGTCGATGAGATGTTTTTATCAAATGTAGCAGCTTCAGCAGAACACAGAGCAGAGCCAGAAGTTGTTGTAGGTGTGAAAAGGACAGCTGCTGAGGAAGAAAATTTGAGGATAATAAGTGAGGCTAATGACTTTCTTACTACATTTGAGAGTCCAGTGAAGATTAAGAAAAGTAGAGCAAGTAGAGTTGCAGTTAAAAGAAGAAAAGTACCTCTTGCAGCTCCAGTTTCAGCAACTACATCTTCAGGTGCAGCTCAAGGTGCATGTGCTCCTCCTCCAACTCCAGGTGCAGCCCAAGGTGCATCTTATTCATGTCCAGGTGCATCTTCTTCAGCTCCAGTAGGAAATAAAGCAAAATCTGCAAAGACCAAAGCAGTAGCAGGTACACCACAGAGAGGAACAATGCCACAATTTACTCAAGGACAGAACCCAGCAGCTACTTCTGAATTTGAGTATACATCTACATATCATGTTCAAAATGGAACAAGTGCTAATGAAGTATTACATGAAAATGTAAAAGAAGGAGAAGAAGGTGATGATGAAAGTGACATTGACTACCAGCCTTTGTCAGAGCACAGTTCTGCTGAAGAATCAGAGGCAGAGAAATTAAGGAAATTAGCAAGAGAAATTAGGAGGCAGAAGAGAGCAAAGAAATTAGGGGATGCTGTGGGGCCTGTCATCAAAGATAATAATGTGATTGAAGGATTGTCTGGTGATGAGAAGCTGGATGGCATAGAAGATGATGTTGTGTCATCAGATGATGACTGCTCTTTTGATGAGGAAAGTGATGGTGAGGGGGCCACACAGCTAGTGAGAAGGAAAAGTGAATGGAGAAAATATGACAGCAAATCAGAAATTCCTACATTTGAGATAGGAATGGTTTTTAGAGGAAGACATCAGATGAAGAAAGCTCTAATAAAATATGGCATTAAGAAACATGTGCATATTGCTTTCACAAAGGATGAAAATCATAAAGTAGGTGCAAAGTGTACTTGGCCTGGCTGCAACTGGATGATCTATGCTTCTAAAACTACTAGAAATAAGTGGCTACAGGTGTCTACCTTTGTAGATGAGCACCATTGCATTCCAAGAAGAGATAACAAACTGGTCACATCAACTGTTATTGCTACAAAATATGGTAGGCTTATAAGAGCAAATCCAAATTGGAAGTTAGAAGATTTGAGGAAAACTGTACTTGAGGACTTATTTGCTGATGTGATAGTTGCACAGTGCAAGAAGGCAAAGAGAATGGTCATGCAGAAACTATTGCATTCCACTGAAGGAGAGTACTCAAAATTATTTAATTATCAGTTAGAGCTGCTGAGAACTAATCCTGGAAGCACAGTTGCAGTGAAGTTGGACCATAATGAAAAGGATGGGTCATATGTATTTCAAAGGTTTTACATGTGTTTTGATGCCTTGAAGAAATGTTTCTTGGCAGGTTGTAGAAAAGTTATTGGCCTTGATGGTTGTTTTTTCAAAGGTGCTTGCTATGGACAGATGTTGTGTGCTATAGGAAGAGATGCAAATAACCAGATGTATCCTATTGCTTGGGCTGTTGTGGAGAAAGAAAATTATGAGTCATGGTTCTGGTTTCTTGCCAAGATAAACTAGGACTTGAAAATAAGCAATCAAGGAGATGGATATGTATTTATGTCAGATCAACAAAAGGGACTTATACGGGCAATGGAGGACATTTTTCCTAAAGCTGAGCATAGAATGTGTGCAAGACACATATATGCTAATTGGAAGAAAAAACACCCAGACCATGATCTTCAGAAAAGGTTTTGGAGATGTGCAAAATCACCAAACAAAGTGATTTTCAACTACAACAGGGCCAGGCTAGCACAATTTACTGTTGAGGGTGCAAAAGATATGATGAACACTGATCCAGTACATTGGAGTAGGGCCTACATGAAGCTGGGGTCTAATTGTGATTCAGTTGATAACAACATGTGTGAATCTTTCAACAACTACATCCTGTTAGCTAGGTACCTTGCTATTGTCTCAATGCTTGAGTGGATCAGGTGCAAAATTATGGTGAGGGTACAAGAAAATAGAGGGAAGTCAGTTAACTGGAAAGGAACTATATGTCCCAACATTTTCAAAAAACTGAAGCAAAACATAAGGAGATCAGGTTTCTGCCATGTGCTGTGGAATGGGAAAGATGGATTTGAAGTGCAAGAGCATGAGAAATTCAAATTTACTGTTAACTTGCAGCTCTGGACTTGCTCGTGTAGATATTGGCAGCTGTCAGGTTTACCCTGCTGCCATGCCATTAGTGCTATCTATAAAACAGGACAGAAAATTGATGATTATATTGCTCCTTGCTACTCCATAGAAGTGTACAACAAGATATATGATCATTGCTTACAACCTTTGGAGGGAGAGGAGAGTTGGCCTATTTCAACAAATCCAAAGCCACAACCACCTGGTCACATTAGCTTGCCTGGAAGGCCTAAAACAGAAAGAAGGAGAGAGGAAGGAGAAAAACCTAAGGGTACTAAGATGAGCAAAGTAGGTGGCAAGATCACTTGTAGTTATTGCAAAAGGCAAGGACATAATAGATCAAGCTGTAAGAACAATGATGGAGCTAAACATCATGGAAATGCTCATTTGGTCAGAGAAGCTGCAAAACAAAAGAAGCAAGACAAAAAGGCTTTTGATGCTCTTCAGACACAGAAAGCTGTGCTTGAAAAGCAGGTTAAGATGACACTTGTTAGTACTAATGAAAAATTGGTTGCTTTTTGTTTCTACTAATTAAAACTTGGTTGCTTTTTTGTTTATACTAATAAAAAACTTGTTTGCAGGCTGCTGATATAAAAGGCAAGGCAATGGCTGTGCAACCTAGGCCAAAGAAGTTGGAAGTTAGAAGAAAACCAGGAACCCTAAGGATCAATGAACCTACATCTCAACAAAGCTCACAGCCAAGCTCTCAACAGAGCTCACAACCAAGCTCTCAACCTAGAGTTCCACAACATTGTGTGTTCAACCTTGCTGCATACAAGGAGGCACTAAATGCTAAGAAAGGGCCATCCATTTGATTACAAAATTTGTGATATTGTGCTAAATTTGTGCCACACTTGTCCTAAATTTCTGCTTCTGTTAATTTGAGGCACAATTTCTGCTACTATAATTTTTTGGATTAAAACAAAGAGGACAACAGAGTTGAAAACATTTATGCTTGAACATCTTCAGTACATTTGATCACTGCATTTGTTCAGTACTTAACTAGAAACTCTGACAGTGCATACATAACTGCATTTCTCCAGTACCTAACATACAAACTTAACATAGAAACTTAACTGCATTTCTCAGTGCATAATGAACTAGACACTGAACTAGAAACTTAACTTCTCTATCTTCACTTCTGCATGTCCTTCATCTTCTTGATGCGGTCGGAGTGGCGAATGCCGACGCGGATGTAAGTCTCCGCCTCGATTGGCATGCTCCTGTCGCCGAGCTGCGGGATCACCGGCGCCACCACGTACACGTCGTCGTCGGCAGGCGCCACCTCCCCCTCGCTGTCGTCCTCCACATCCACCACCACCTGCTCCTTCTCGCTGTCCTCCACATCCTGCTCCTGCTCGCTGTCCTCCAACACATCTTCACTGCACTCTCCGTCGCTGTCAGAGTGCACAATAACCTGCTTCACTGCAGCTGGTACAGCGACCACGACGCCGACGAGATCTTCAACTGGAGGTGGAGGGGGGCGACGGTGGGAGCGGTACTCGTACCACCTGGCACGCTGACGCGGATCTGGTGACTTCTCCGCCTCATTCATAGCCCAAAGGAAAACAGAGATAGCTGGAATGGGACGGCCGTCGGGGAACATTCTCTTCTTCTCATCATCAGTTGCCACAACGATGAGGCCCCTAGCGTGGTCCACGCACATCTGCAAGCTCGGAAATCTGTTGTAGATCTCCTCCACATCAGCCCTTTTCTCTGAATCCCCCTTGCAGAACCTGCTCACAGTTTCCTCCCACCGATCTTGAGCACGGCGAACATCTCTTGCAGTCTTCTTCTTGGGCGCCATCGCCGGCATCGAGAAGCGATGGGAGTGGGTGGGCGAGAGGCGAAGGGAGTGGATGAGAATGGGGAACGGCGAGTGGATGAGAGTGGGTGGGCTAGTGCTGTCTGGGCGAGCGTGGCCTTAAATGGGTGGCTGTCAAAGCGGTGGGTTCAGTTAACTTCAGACAACGCTTCAGAAAAATTCAGACAACCAAAAGTTCAGTTATCTTCAGACACAAGTTCAGACTTTTTAAATTTTAAACTCAAGTACATTTGTTCACTCGAGCTTACATAGGTGGTTCACTAAGATACTACATCACATCTTCAAAGCCATGATAACAGCAGACACAATGCAGAAAAAGATGGCAAATTTGTACATCTTTTTGCTTCTCTGAAATTCCTTGGCAAGAACATCCATTTGTTGAGCATGCTGCGCTTTCAAATCCAGCACATAAACATCAGCATCACCAATGCTGCACTTGGCATCCATGAGAGCATGCTCCAGCTGTGATTTCTCGGTCTTGAGCTTCCTAACCTCTGTCTTCAGCCGATTCACAACATCTCGCAGGTCACCTAATAGCGTACTGACAAACTTATCCAGGGGATCATCATGCCACTTGAAGTAGCCACAGTCATATCCCTATTCAAAAAATTGTGCAATTTTGTCAAAAGAATCACGCAAAGACTTGCTGCTCAACGAAACAACAAACAGAAATGGCGGGCACAGATCCTTGACTTTGCAGTGGCTGCAGTTTTGCTTACCAGAGATTGGCTGCAGTTGTAGTATCGACGACCGGGGTTGGCAATGCTCCACGAAATTCACCTCGGAGCCTTGACTTTGCAGTGGCACACCTTCTCAGGCGAGTACGCCATCGGTGGCTCCCGATATGGCACCGGCGACTGCCCTGAGAAGGCCATGGACCACGGCGACCGATGACTGCTTGACGAGCTAGCAGACGCCATGGACTGCGGCGAGCGAGGGGACGGCGATGGGGCGGCGAGGGGGCGGCGAGGGGACGGCG